GCAGTTTGATCGACTGCATGGCATGGACTCGCCGAGTCCGAGGAACAGACTCGGCGAGTAGCTTGGAGAATAACTGGGACTCGTCGAGCTGTTCTTCAGACTTGGCGAGTGGAGTCGGGGTGGCCCCGCGATTCTTCCAGGAGTAACTCGTCGGGTCATGGAGGATACTCGACAAGTAGAAAGGAATCTTTGAGGATTGGAGGACGTCTAGACTCGCCGAGTCGCCATAGCACTCGCCGAGTCCGGTCAAGTTGACCGTTGACCAGAGTTGACCTATATGTGATTTCTTAGGGTCAGTTGTCTTGAAAGATAAAAGTGTTAATAAGGGATGTACGATATTATAGGGAGTCTGTAGCTCGGCGGATCGAGTACGAGTGATTTCAGGAGTTGCTAGCTTTCAGTATCCACGAGGTGAGTCTTCTCACTATACTGTACCCGGAAGGGTTTGACTGTGTGACCGAAAGGTCGGATATGATATGTGATATATGTGCTATATGTGGTAAGTTAATTGTTATGTGTATTGTGTATGTTTTTATGGGCCGGAAGGCAATATGTTGTGGGCCGGAAGGCAATATGTTGTGGGCGGGAAGGCAATATGTTATGGGCCGGAAGGCGATTATGTTAAGGGCCGGAAGGCGTTGTGTTGTGGACCGGAAGGTCAGGGCCTGGAAAGGCGTATATGTGTAAGTTGTATACTGGGGAACTCACTAAGCATTTATGCTTACAGTTGTTATGTATATGTTTCAGGTACTAGCGAGGACCGTGGGAAGGCGCCGGCGTGATGCGTACACACTGATTGATGTTTTGAGATCTTGGGAATTCTATGATTTGTATTTCGACATAAAACTTGGAATAATTATATTTAGTTTGAATAAAAACACTTTATTTGAAATGAAAAAAAAATTGTTTGAAAATTTTGCGTTGTTACAATTTGCCATTTGAAAGAATCGCTTGGGTTAAGGTAATTGGTCTTCCCATTCATCTGAGGTCTGAAGAGAATGTTAGTTTGGTTGTTGGTAGACTTGGCAAGATTGTTGAAGTTGACGGTTGTCAAAATTGGCATAACATCGATCTTACATCCTCACATGCAAGGATCCTAACAGGTGATAAACTACTAATAAACAAGGAGATCAATTGTTCCTTTAATGGTAAGAATTACATAGTGGGTGTGGTTGAATGTGAAGATATTTGGCAACCGTTTTCCAAATATTACGAATCTAACTCCGAACCCAGCACTGAGATTGCAGAGAATGATGATGAGATCGAGAAAAGTGATTCAGATGATGATGGCATATCAGAAACATGGGAAAATGTTAATCATATGGACGTGGAAGAAGGATAAATCGTGATGGATGATAATGTGAATGACAATCCAGATGCAGCTGGTGGTGTGGTGGCATCTCCATCACCGGCAATCTTCGATGGTGTGGCGTACGTTGAAAATCAAAATGTCGCTTTAAATTCAGAATCTGATAAGTTACCTAGGGATAATAACATCATTAATACTGAGAACTGAAAGGAGTTATCCAATACCGACAATATCAATGGAACGGGTGGGACTTTGGATGATCAGTTAACAAGGAATCATGGTAGGCGGCCCACCTCACCTGTTGGGTATGATACAAATTCAATAGCCCAATCCCCATCTGGCTCATCTACTCTTAATCCGGTTCAAGGCGTCGACTTTCCCTCTTGTAAGTTTGGGGGTTCCCTCTCCAAAAAGAGAAAGTTGGACAAAACTGAGAGAAACGATCAATCCTGCTCTCTTCCTGTTCGAAGACTACTTCCTGATTTTCTTGATCTCCCTCTCCCCCCACCTAGATCGCAGCCCATACCTCCAATCATCCACGCTCCCTCCTTCGACCTAAATGTTTCAGTCAATAACCTTACCTCTTCAGAACCGGATGATTTCTCCTCCTCTAATGAGATTGCCAGCCTCATCCACATCGCAAATGAAGTGGGATTTCATATTTCAGTGGATTGTGTTGGTATGTTGGATGAAAATACTTCCAAAGCAGTTATGGGCGATGGTGTCTCAGATGGTGATCAATGAATGCTCTAAGCTTAAATATCAGGGGTGTGGGTGAATCCCACAAGGTTGATTGGATTAGAAGGCTCAAATAAGTACATATGATTGACTTCATTGGTATACAAGAGTCTAGAGTCACAGATTATAACCAAATTGATTTCGTTGGATGTTGGGGGTCGCCTGACTTTGACTTTGCAGCTGTAGACCCTACTGGCGGATTAGGTGGTCTTTTCTGTATTTGGGATCCTACTATTTTCTCTAAAATTAACATTATGTCATCAAGAAACTACCTTGCAATCTCTGGGCACTGGAAAGGTGTTCCTGGAATAACCACATTTGTAAATGTTTATGATCCCCAATCTACCACTGATAAGAGGGCATTCTGGTCTGAACTCATCACATTAAAAAACGGACTCTCGGGTACCTGGGTCTTTCTTGGTGACTTTAATGCAATGAGATTCGAGCATGAAAGGTTCAACTCTGTCTTCTGTAAAGCAACTGCTATAGACTTCAATCGCTTCATTACTGAAGCTGATCTACACGAATTCAATATGGGTGGATCGAAATTCACATATTTGCGGGATGATGGTTTTAAACTCAGTAAAATTGACCGCTTTCTGGTATGCTCGAATTTTATTAGTATTCAACCACTCTCATCGGTTACTGCTCTTGCTAGGGATCACTCTGATCACTCTCCACTCATATTGAAACCTTCCAATTATAATTTTGGACCTATCCCATTCCGATTCATCAATTCTTGGTTGCTAAAGGATGACTTCAATGTGATGTTCAAAAATACATGGGAATCCTTTCGTGGATTTGGCGCTCCCGATAGATTCTTCGCTGCTAAACTAAAATTTGTAAAAAATGCCATTCGAGACTGGACCAACGTGAAATCAAACATGGAGCATGCGATATTAATACAACTCAAAACAAAGGTGGAAAAATTGGAATCGATTGCAGAATTTAGACTATTCACGGAAGCTGAACGAATATCCTAGAGAGACGATAAGAAAAAAAATAATGGAGCTTGAACGACTCAAGAAGTTAGATATGCAGCAAATGGCCAAAATAAAATGGGCCACAGACGGTGATGAAAATACTCGTTTCTTTCATGGCACCCTCAAACAAAAGAGCAGGAAAAATAGAATTCACGGTCTTAACATCAATGGTGAGTGGATTTCTGATCCCATGGCAATAAAATCGGAAGTTTATAATTTTTTGCGGACAAATTTCATGAAAGTTGGACTCATAGACCCAAGTTCATCAATCACAACTTCAAGCAACTCTCCAATGATCAATCCTCGTTTCTTGAGTCAGAATTCTCAGACCAGGAAATTAAGAATGTTGTTTGGTGCTGTGGGTGGGAAAAGGCGCCCGGACCTGATGGGTATAGCTTCAAGATTTTAAAAGAAAACTGGGATGTGATCAGTGGGGATATAATTCGATTTGTAAAATACTTTGAATCCACTGGTTCTATTGCCCCAGGCTGCAATTCCTCAAGTATCACTCTCATCCCAAAAGTGAATGACCCGCTGTCTCTTGGGGATTACCGTCCTATTAGCCTTATAGGGTGCATGTATAAGGTGGTGGCAAAGCTATTGGCAAATAGATTGAAGCAGGTGATTGATTCAGTGGTTGATAAAGTGCAATCTGCATACATCCAAAATTCATACTCGATGGCCCCCTAATAATAAATGAATTATTATCTTGGGCAAAACAACAAAAAAAGAAAATCTTTCTTTTCAAAATTGATTTTGAAAAAGCGTTTGATTCAATAAATTGGGGCTACTTGGATTCATTTATGGATCAAATGAACTTCGGTCGCAAATGGAGGATGTTGATCACATGTTGTTTATCTTCATCCAAGGCATCTGTTTTGGTTAATGGGGGCTCCAACGACTGAATTTCCAATTTCCAAAGGGGTCCGTCAAGGAGATCCATTATCTCCATTTCTCTTCATCTTGGCCATGGAAGGGCTAAACATTGCCATTAGAAGCGCCTGTGAAAAAGCACTATTCCATGGGGTCAAATTACCTAGAGATGGTCCCTCGGTCTCCCATCTATTCTATGCTGACGACGCGATATTTTTTGGGGAATGGAACATTGATAGCATAAAAAACTTATCCAGAATTCTCAAAAGCTTTCATATATCATCAAGGTTAAAAGTAAACTTTTTTAAATCTCGTATCTTTGGTGTAGGGGTCTCAAAGACAATTCTGTCAAAAACAGCCCAGGTGCTTGATTGTCTGCAAGGTGATTTTCCATTCACATATTTGGGAGTCCCAGCTGGGGCTAACATGGCGTTAAAGAAGAACTGGAAACCAATTCTGGATAAATTTTCCTCCAAATTATTGAGCTGGAAAGCCAAATCCTTATCATTTGGAGGTCGTCTTACCCTCATAAAATCAGTTCTTGACTGCCTCCTTACATATTACATGTCCCTCTTCAAGGCTCCTCAAGGAATCATTGATCAACTTGACAAGATCAGGCGTATATTCTTATGGGGAGGTGGAGAACTCAAAAAAAAAAAAAACACTGGGTTGATTGGAAAACTGTTACTGCACCAAAATCGAAAGGAGGTCTCGGTGTTGGTTCCCTACTTGCTTAAAATATCGACCTATTGATCAAATGGTGGTGGAGGTTCATGAACGACAAGGGCAGTTTCTGGAAAGATGTCATCATGAGCATACATAACTTATACAACAAACTTGCAATATATATTGCAAGGAAAACAACAAATGGGGTTTGGTGCAATGTTTCAAAGGCGGTGAAATCCATTGAAAAGCTACATATCGACCATAAGGATATTTTTGCTCTCACTCCTGGTTTGCAAAGTAACATTTTGTTTTGGAAAGACATTTGGTGCAGTAATATTCCATTTCATATCAAATTTCCTCACCTGTTTGCACTAGAAACGGTTAAAAACTGTCGAGTGGAGGATAGATTTTCTGGTATCGGGTTTTCATGGATGTGGAGTCACGAACCAACATGCGATATTGAACTGAAGGAACTGCTGGAATTATATTTGGATATTGGTAATATGACCATTGAGAAAAATTCCAAATATGGTTTCAGATTCATCCTCAACCCCACAAGTGAATATATTGTGAAAATAATGAGAAAACTATTGGAATCAAAATTGATTCCATTCAAAGGGCTGACAATTTGGTGGTCTAAGCTAATTCCTTTGAAAGTAAGTGGTTTCATATGGAGAGCTTTGTTAGGAAGGATTCCAGTGGCAGATACTTTGGCAACTAGGAGAATTATCATCCCTAATAATCTTTGTCCCCTGTGTAATAAGGAGACAAAAACGGTGGATCATATACTTGTTACATGTGAGTATTCTAGGGAGGTACAATATTGGATACTTAAATGGTGTGGAATTGAAAAAGAGTGGGTTCGAAAATGTGAAGGAATTCACAGATTACGCAGCTACCTGGGGAAGTTGTCCAACGAAGAAGTTAATATTAAACATGGTGTTTCACTGCCTCATCTGGAATTTATGGCTATCTAGGAATGATAAGATTTTCAAAGGAATTGGTGTGCATCCGGCGAAAATTGCAGACAATATTATCTCTCTCTCTCTCTCTCTCTCTCTCTCTCTCTCTCTCTCTCTCTCTCTCTCTCTCTCTCTCTCTCTCTCTCTCGTATGTTTGGTGCAAGCACAGAGGTGGACTTTGTTGTTGGAAGTGGATCGAATGGAGTGTATCGTCTTTCGCTCATCTCTCAACTTAATTTAGTCTTTTTTTCCTTTCTTTGTTTTTCCTTTTCTTGCTCTTTTTGTTCGTATTGTTAACTTTTGGCTTGTTGTAGCTTCTTGCTATTTGCCTTCTATAATGTTATTTGCCTTTTCTAAAAAAAAATGAATCATTTGTATGTACACGTTTACATTTTTGCACAAATCATAGAATTTAAAACAGACGGTTCAAGTTTGTTAGGTTACTAATTGACATTAGTTTGTTTGTTTGTTTTGAAAAGTATTAATTACTATTATTTTTAAGTTTGCAAATTAAGGTGGGTCAGTACTTTTTCACCTCTAGTTTTAATTATGTTTTATCTTATACCAACCCCTAGAGTAATAAATAAAGTTATACAATTTATCACAAATAACATATATCTCGTTATATATTTATTTATAACAATTCAAACAAATATTTCTCAAATGATACATGCATTAAAGAAAAAAAATATAAGTATCAATTAAAAGCTCAGAATTCTTTTGAAATTAATTGGACCCTTGGGAGTGGAGGTTACATCCTTTCGAAATAATGACTAAAGCGCTGACATCATCTTTCTCACCATTTTCTTGTTGTCCAATTCCATGGCGTGATCTCAACTTGTATAAAGTACAAACCTGACAACATACACCATCAGAACACACCACCACACAACATTGAACATCCCGATAAAAAAGATGACCACCTCAGAGCTTGTTTTCATCCCATCTCCGGGAGCTGGCCACCTCCCGCCGACGGTGGAGCTCGCTAAAATCCTCCTCGACCGTGATCAACGGCTTTCCATCACCATCATAGTCATGAAGATATCCCTCGGAGCAAAACACGACACTGAATCTCCGACACCCATTCCCCGTTTACAGTATATCGACATCCCATGCGATGAATCCACCATGGCTCTCATCAGTCCCAAGACCTTCCTCTCAGCCTTTATCGAACACCACAAACCTCATGTTCGAAACATCATCCGCAGCATAATTGAGTCCAACTCGGTTCGTCTTGCTGGACTCGTTCTCGACATGTTCTGTGCACCCATGACAGAAGTTGCAAACGAGTTTGAAGCTCCAACTTACATCTACTACACATCTGGTGCTTCCATGCTTGGCTTACAGTTGACCCTCCAAGCCAAGCGCGACGAGGAAGAGCATGACGTCACTGAGTTAAAAGGATCGGAATCCGAGCTGTCCATCCCGACTTTCGTCAACTCAGTTCCGGCGAAAGTGTTACTGGATGTAGTGTTAGATAAGGAAGGTGGGTCCAAAATGTTTCTTGATCTCGCGAAAACGTTTCGTGATTCAAAGGGTATATTGGTAAATACGTTTCAAGAGCTCGAGGGCCATGGAGTTGACTATCTTTTAAGCAGCAACGCCGATATACCACCTGTTTTTCCGGTGGGGCCTATACTGAACCTCAAGAACGCGACAAATGATGGTAAAACGGATGAGATTATGACGTGGCTAAACGATCAGCCAGAGAGTTCAGTGGTGTTCCTGTGCTTCGGAAGTATGGGGAGCTTCAGTGAGAAACAAGTTAAGGAGATCGCGGTTGCCGTTGAACGGAGCGGACAGAGGTTTTTATGGTCTCTCCGCCGTCCACCGCCCAAGGGAAAGATAGAGTATCCAAAGGATTACGAAAACCCAGAGGAGGTGCTCCCTGAGGGTTTCCTTGATCGGACTTCGAGTGTAGGGAAGGTGATCGGGTGGGCTCCACAGACGGCGGTGCTGTCGCATCCTTCAGTGGGAGGGTTCGTTTCACACTGTGGGTGGAACTCGACATTGGAGAGCATATGGTGTGGGGTTCCGGTAGCTGCTTGGCCACTCTACGCCGAACAACAGCTAAATGCTTTTCAGTTGGTGGTAGAGCTGGGATTAGCGGCGGAGATCAGGATTGATTACCGGCGCAATGTGGGACCAGATGAAACGGAGATGATTGTGACGGCGGAGGAGATTGAGGGTGGGATAAGGAAGTTGATGAGTGATGGTGAGATGAGGAAGAAGGTGAAAGAGATGAAAGAGAAGAGCAGGATAGCAGTCGCTGAGGGTGGATCATCTCACGCAGCCATTGGACGTTTCATTGAGCATGTTATTAGCGAGTAACCATTTGAATTGTTGTGTTAATTTCTGGACATTCGTTATCTGGATTAAAAACCTTACAAGTGATCTTTTTGAAGATTTGTTGTGTGAATTTTTTATGCAAAGAGTTACAAAGAAATATTTTTCTGTTTTAAATTTGTACTCTTTTATAAATATAACAATTTAAAAAAGGTTCAAGTGTTAATAATAATCTCGTATATTTTGGCAAACCTTCGACTGTGTCATTTTTAATAGAGAAAATGAGTTAGAAGGATAATTAACCATCGTCATTGTTCACATTTGGTTTTTTTTTTATATATATATATATATATATATATATATATATATATATATATATATTATTCTATTTATCATTGAAGTTATTTTTTGTGTTCATAAAAACCATTATTACCGGGTATTGTAGGTTTTAACCGGTCATGTTGAATTTTCCGGCAAATATATGAATTTTCTGCGATTTCCGGCAAAGGGCACTATGAATGCCTTAAACTTGTTTTTTCATATATGCAAAAATCTAAACATCATTACAACATCAGATCAACCTCCATTCCAACAAAAATCAAAGTTGAAGAACAATTTCTGGAAACGGGAGAACAATTTCTGAAAACATATAAGAAATTGATGGGTTCCAAATCAAAAATCTGGAAATTGAAGCCCTAGAAAATCAAAAACCAAAGCTGAAGAACAATTTCTGAAACCCTAGGTTCGTGTATCTGGAACGATTTCTGAAAATTGAAAACCTTAGGTCCATGTATCTTGTTCTTGGATCAAAAATCTAGAAATTGGTGAGGGCTCGTCTCAATTGTCTTTTTGTGTACCTCCAATTCTTAAAGATGTTGAAGCTGCCATGGAAGTTGTTTGAACAACTTGAACTCGAAGCTGATGAAGGTTTATCAATGGAAGACGAAACCAAAAGAAAACTCTATTTCAAGGTTTCAACTTCAAAACGAAATTAAGATCTGGAAAACCACCCTTCTCAGTATTAAAACGAAACAAAAATGAACTCATTTCAAGGTTTCAACTTTATTTATGCATATTATCGATTTGTAGATCTTGAAAATCAATAAGAAGAAAAATCGAACATTTGAAGAAAAAATCGAGAGCCCAATCCTCTTTCTTAGATCAAGAACGTGCAAAACAGAGATCTCGATTTGTGGGTTCGAAATAGCAAAAAAACTCATGTTTGTCGAAGGCTCGTCGGAAAAGACGACTGAAGAGCCGTTGGAGGTGATGATGTCGCTGGAAACCTTCAATAGCATGTTGCAATGAAATTTTGGAACACCAAATATAAGCTCATTGGTAAATAGGGTTCAAAAAAGTGACAAAATGTGAACAATAATGATATTTAGTTACCCTCATAAATCATTTTTCCTTTTTAGTTTATTTTTTTACTTTTTAAAGACAAAAGATATTAGGAATCAATTTATTTTATCTTTTAAAAAGAAAAGATATTTGAGTCTCCCTCTTTACTATTTTTCCATATTTAAAGCTAAAAAAAAAAGTTAATGCATGATATTTTGAAAAGTATTAGAAAGAATTTCTTGTTGAGTGATAATAAAAAAGAAAATAAATTGGTTTGCGTTACAAAAAGTTGTTTCTCAAAAGCTTTTGGTGGCCTCACTATGTGATATCTTAGTTCATCAAATCTAAGTTTACTAGTAGCTAAGTGGTGGTCCATGGATGATAAAGGTGGGTATGAGTTTGTTTTTTTTTTTTTTTCTTTTTATTTATTTATTTATTTTTGTCTCAAGTGATTATTGTTATTTAAAAATTTAATATTTTTTTATGGCAAGAAATTAAAATCCCTGATTATCACACTTTATCTCAACTCTAAGGGTATGAGGAGTGTTCATACCCATCCCACCGGAAAAATGCTGCCATATATGCATTACATCAGCTTCATACCCAACCCATCACGAACCTTAGACATAGGAAATGGTCACCACTTCAAAACATTTATTTATTTTTTAACACTAAATTAAATAAAAAACATAATTAATAAAAACATAGAAAATAATAATAATAATAATAATGATGATGATGATGATGATGATGATGATGATGATGATGATGATGATGATAATAATAATAATAATAATAATAATAATAATAATAATAATAATGTTTAGGGTGAAATTTGTAAATTTATAAACCAATTTTGAGGAAGAAAATTAGAGAGGAGGTTTATTCTGTTTTTGACCCAAACTCAAGGGACTATAATTGACAATTTTTGAAAAATGTATCTTCTTCCTGATTAAACGACCTCTTCATCGTCTTCCTCCATTGTTGAATACCTGCAACTGTGAAAGTTTTTTTCTTTGTGTATTGCCTCCAAACGAATCCAATCAAAACAGGAAGCCAACCAATAGGGAGCCTCGTATTCGTCCATCTTCGTAGAGACGCCACACGCAAGCCACCGGACTTAGTAGCGGTGTTCACGCTTGGGGGAGGCTGCCACCTCAGCCCAAGAGGCGTGAAAACACTCCCATACTGGGTAGCCTAACGGAGAAGTTAATTGAATTTGGTGTGGACCTCCCAAAGCTTTCCAAAAGAAAAGTTAGAATTCAGAACACTTGTTTTTGAGTTGTACGTTTGCTAGTGAAGTATGTCAAAAAATTATTGTGTACGAATCACTTCCCTTCCCTCTAACCTAAATATTCTTGGTAACTATAGTTTTAAATTAATGAAATAACCCACGTTTCTAAAAAAATTAATTGATGTATATTAGTGGAATCATATCATGCCACCTTGATTTATCTTATAATTTATATATATCGTTCTACCAAATTTTGTATCCTCTCTCTCTTTATATATATATATATATATATATATATATATATATATATATATATATATATATATATATATATATATATATATATATATATATATATATATATATATATATATATATATATATATATATATATATATATATATATAAAAGAGAGAGAGAGAGAAAGGAGGGTTCAAATGAGAAAAAAAGGTTGAGAATGCGGGAATCATTCTCAGCTACTCATTTATTTTTACCCTAAAAGCCTCCGTCGTACCAACGGAAATAAGAAAGGAATAGACATGTGTTTTCCAACAAAACATGTTTCCTTAAACTATGCTAAGCATTACCTTAATATATACAAAAACATAGTTTTTTTTTTTTTTTTTTTTTTTTTTTTTTTTTTTTTTTTTTTTTTTAATTTTTAAGAAGATATTTTTATTGAAAACTGATTTTAAATATACCAAAATTCATGATTTTTTATTATCTACAAATAGACATCCATATTGATATAATTTTAAAATAAAATAATTTTTTTTATATTTTCAGCTATATTTATTCATAAGTGAATGAAAATGAATCAGATTTTTACTACAGTACATTCATTATTCACTTATAAATAAAAACTATGATTAATTTTTTTTACAATTTAAATATCATTCATATATGAATATAGCATATAATAAACATAGTATATTCATATTTAAATATTAGACAGTGCATTCACTTGTGAATATTACATAATGTATTCACTTATGAATATTAGATGGTATATTCACTTATGAAAATTAGATAATATTTTAATATCTGAATATTACATAGTATTACATGGTATATCACATCTGAATATTACATAGTATATTCACTTTTGAATATTAGATGATATATTCACTTATGAATATTACATATTATATTCACATATGAATAGTACAAGGTATTTTCACAAATATATATAATTTTTATATGTTATTCACATATCAATAACATACAAAATTGCATATGTGTTTTTTTTTTGTTTTAATAATCATATACTGATTTAGGTAAGAAAACATATTCATATATGAATATAACGTGGTAATTTAGTTTATGCATTTTATCAAACAGTTGGAGTGCATACAATTTAACTTTTTTAAAAGTGTTAAAAACATGATACTTTGACTATTTAAATCTTACAAAATAGTAGATTGATAGAAAATTATATGAAATTTTTCAAAAAAAAAAAAACGATTTGATCTTTTTCTAACCTCAATTTTGAAGTTTTATTTGATAATCGATGTTGAATGAATGATGTGAAGTGGATTTTTTGTTGATTATCAATGATGTTGATCTAATGGCGATGGGAGTATAATTAATCGTGGATGTTGAAGATTTGATCGTATTCAAGCAAAATTGAAGGTTGGATTAAAAGAACCAAAAACGATTTTTTCTTGTTAACTGTTGAATCATGTTGATAAACATGTTATTGACGAAGATCAATGATTGATTAGCATTGGATGATGTTGATGATGGTTTAATTGAAAAAATCTGGATGATTGTTGAAGGTTGGAGGAGAAATTTGGATGATGAATGATCGATTAGAAATGGGTTTGAAATGTTATCTATTTCTATACAGTTACGTAATTAAGATTGAATGTTATTATCATAATTACAAGTTTGCCACCGTGTCTTTTTATGCTTAGATTAAATGAGTGGCTGAGAATGATTTCCTTATTCTCAACCCTTTTTATTTTCTCAATTGAACCCGCCTCTCTCTCTCTCTCTCTCTATATATATATATATATATATATATATATATATATATATATATATATATATATATATATATATATATATATATATAGTAACATCAATAACATTATAAGTTATAAACATGCATGACTAAATGGCATGGAGTGGTAATGGGTTAATCCTAATTCTCTCTCATCTTTTTTTCTTATTCATCTTTTTTTGGCCGACCCTAATACCTTTTAACCTTCATCATTCCTCTTGTTGTTGCCCTAATTCCCTAAACACATATGTTTTCTTCAATAGCAGACAAAGAATCAACTGAAAAACCTTTTGTAACGACCAGATTTTCTTATATTTTATACACAAAATACATACAACAATTTTCTAATATTATAAATTAGAACCATCGAGTTTAGTTAAGTATTTAAAAACATAAATATTAACAATACATACTAAAACTATGACCAAGATATGTCTGATGTCACAAAGTTTTATACAAAAAGAC